TCTTTATCATCAAAGATGCAAGTTATTTTTAATTTTAGGAAAATATGTACAAGCATTTGAGTAGTGTAACCCAAATTAATTTGTTTTCTAAAATATTACTTTACTAAATGATACTACAGTATGCCATTATTTTATTTTTGGATGCTATTTTAAATGTACTTAAAAAATTATTATTCAACATTTTTGTACATAAAAATACCATCGATCATCATCATCATCATGTACTTTATTATCATTTACATATATTCACTTTTGCGTTACTTTAAGTTATAAATTGTCTTTATTTTTAAACATTTTATTCCTATAAACAAACGGCCGCTACTACAAATTACAAAAAAATATTTTAACACATAGTGGAGGGTATCACAAACTCGATTTTTTTTTTCCGAAATAACGTTTGTTAGATTTTTCAATACATCGAAAACCGAATTATAACGAAACGGTTGTTCTTTCGGGATATCTTGGATGTTTATCGCAAAGACACGATTAGGTTCGGTTAGGCAAGGTTGCTGGTGGGGGCGCGGACGAGTGCAACAGCGTACCCGTACCCCCACCTACAGCGGAGAGGAGGAACACTCCGGGGGTTTAGTGCGGTCGGGCTGCTCCCCTTCAGGGTTCTACCCAGTCCCACATAACCCCGGCTCTGCCCCCGCCGGGCCGGGGTATCTGTAAGCAGATTCCCCCGGATTACCAAAAAAAAAAGTTTAAAAGACAAAACATTTTCCTCTTAAAATTACTTTCGAGGTTATGAAAATTCGACCAACGTTATTTCTGGCAAATGTCATTTCGGACTTACTGATTGGAGAGGTATTTTTTTTAAAGACGGTCTATTTTTTGTTGTCTGTTTTAAACAGAAGAAACGTATTGTGGATGTCAAGTATAGGTCATATGCGCAATGACAATGCTCATTGAATTCGAGTTTACATTGTTTTAAGTCAATTTGGTGCCCATATTTGATCGACAGATGATTTTGAATGACAGATTACTATGTGAAATACGTCAAGATATCTTACCTAGCACCTTTATGTTGAGTACATGTAAAATACTTCCGTGGACTCACACGCTCAACATGGGAGGTAAACAACAACTAAAAAATATTAGATTCAATCAATGTTCGAGTAAAAGAAATTAATTCTTTAAGAAACATTAATATTGTAATTAGCAAGGTGAAAGTATGACTGATCAGAATTTAGATAGAGTGTGGCCTTTTTCATTTACAAATACTTAATATTATAACTCAAATTTTGGTTCCATACAAATCAATCTTGGTAAACTCACCTAAATCAAAACGCGAAGAGTCGAATGTCTCTCTAGAGCGTCTTATAAGATATACCTAAAAAACATTTATAATGTATAAGGTATTTTGAAATATATCTGGAAATTGGGAGAAACAGCCAGCAATTCAAACTTAGAAACCTTCATGTGGCATCCAAGATAAACCATGCTTCATAGGACCTAAAAATTCCCTTAACATAAAAATCTGCTTCAGACGCTACCAAGTGGAATTATCAATATGTGAATATTTTTGCAGTCAACCTCGTCAAACCTTGCAAAAATTAGAGTAAGCGATTTAACTGCCACAGAAAGAATGACTTACACACAAATCAATAGGGCTCCAACTGCATATACCACGATTGAATAGTGCTCTTTACTGTGATAGCGACTACAACCCTACCTGTCCCACCAAATGATATAAAACCATACCGTATGTATACGGCAAGCCAATTAAATTAATAGCGGAATTCAAGATGAGGTAACACTGAGGGCCAGGTCTTGCAGCAATCACTCGCCCCGTCACTGCACGTTGGGCAATATCTATCAACTTGGGTTGCCAAGGTATAGCGGCTGCAAATGCCGCGGTGAGCGGAATCGATACAGATACCTTGAGATTTTGTGAACATACCGTTGGAGCTATAGCACTGTTTATTTTTAAGGATTCTTAAGGGTATATCGCTTACAGTAGGTGCAAAATGAAAATCTAAAAATATTTTTCATTTGCCAATTGTTGGCAGATATGTTTATTAAACAAAGCTTTCAATATCGACTTCTTAGGTTCTCACGATTGTCACACATAGTAAATGAAACGGACAATGTTGAACATGGGACCTGTAAACTGTCGCCGTTACTTGAAAGGGCGCGTGTTATTTAAAAACTATTTTTGTTTTGAAACATTATTTTCTCGGTTTTGAGTTTTTGTCACAAGCGCCGTTTCAAGTAGGTAACGGCGACAGTAAAGGGCCCGAAACGTTAGGTATGTTTGAAAAAACAAACACGATTTAGATATCTGGAAAAATAGTTTCATTTCCTAAGGCCTTAATTTTTTTACTCTATTTTGTACATCAGGAAAACTTAGAAACCATGAATATTTTTGAATGCTTTTGCCTCGTTTACAAGTTATTAATGACTATATAAAACTACTAAATAAGATTTTTTTATTAGGGTGTCTATGTAAAAAGGAGACGTTGATGAATGAGCAAGTTCTTTCTTTCTGAGCTATACGTTACGAACGAAGGTTATTTTTAGGTTCAGTAAAGTTCTTTTAAATATATTTTCGGGTAATTTAATTCTAAGGACAACAATCTTCATCGTTGCGAAGAAGTGTATGTACATACTTAAAATACAAAGTTGAAATTTATGTGACTGTTTGTATTAGTGATGGTTTTGAGTTACGTTTTATAGTTTCTATTGTATCTGTTGACCCATTGACCTAAGCATGTTGTATTATGACTCTATGTTCACGGTGTTAATATGTGCTTACACGATTAACACAAAAGAAAAAGAAGAAAAGTAATTTTGCAAAACATCTTGGATAATCATGAAAGGCTTCGTATTAGTCAGTGTTGCCATTTATTTTAATTTCTGACGCACGTTAGGGACAAATAGAATAAATCGAATTGAAAGGGACACTTCGTTTTGACTCTCGGGCTAATCCAATATAGATTTAACCGACTTTCTTAAATACTAAAATTTATTCTACATGTATACTTCTCGCTCTCAAACACCAAAAATTACCTAAAAAAATATTTATAGCCTGGCGACTGCTAGTAGATATTATATAAAAAAAATATTAAAAAATTGTATATTGCATTTTCTTGTTTTTTATTTTTACCTTTTCTCCTATAATATCATGCAGATGAGAAAGAATATGTAAATATTATTACTCTAGAACTACCTGTTACGAATACGTAAATATATTATATCTAACGTGACTGCTTAGGCAACTAGACATTAGATAATAAGCTTAGCTCGAAAACATTTACACAAATTGGTCAGTTTTCTTTATTGCATACGATTTTATAAGTAACGAGGAAATAAGCTCTATTGTTACGAATAATGCAAATAGTGCGTGTTATGATAACAAAGGCTCATTCATGTTCCGGGTAAAATATAGATAGATATGGTAATTTTTTTAATAGAAAACTACAGTGAGACTTAAAGATAAAACAGTGTCATATCGAACAAAAATTCGACTTAGATACGTGAGTTATCGGTTATTTTAGTCGATAGATTCAGTTTAATTTTTTTTATTATAATGTATCGTCATAAGTACTTGAGTTTACTTTTAATTCTACTTACAATACCTCTATAATTATTATACCATTTGATGATTTAGTCTTCTTTATATTATGTCAATGCGAATTTTATTTTGGGACTATAGGGCTTAGAGGAAGCATGTTGCCACTTTGAGATCTTCCATAGTGCAGGTGTGTGGGTAAAAAAGACAGCACAGCAAGTGCTGCATACATGTGTTAGATTAGCATCCCCATTAACTCATCTTGTCTCTGCAGCGACCTACCTCTGAATGCAAAGTCGATATGGCGACTTCCATACTGGCCACAGCTGATCGCATTCCGGTGGTAATTGCTCCAGATAATTTTTTTGGTTGAATATATAAATATTTCATCAATTAAAGTTCGCTACACTTCACAAGAAGAATCAATTTTATTTGATTTGTTTGGTTTGTACTCAATTTCACTGTACACTTAAATGAAACATGTTTTTGGTACGCAGTAAAACTTGATAACGCAATGGTAGCAAAATTGAAAATAAGCAAACAAAACAAAAACAAAATGAAAAGCAAATATTATTGAGGAACACGGTCAGGTGGAAATGTAATACATTAATAAAAGATACCTAATCGATCATTAATATGTAGTAAAATTCATGACGCAAAAACGGATGCTGTAAAATGCTAAAATATTCAACTATGTTTTTATCAGAAACCATCACATATTAGATTAATTATACATATACATATACACATCAAAAGTGTTTTATTCAAATATGCTATTTGCAACTAGGAATTTTACCTGTATACTAGTTAGAATGTATTTTAATTAAAAATAACGCTAATACGACCAAGAACAGGTTTCATAACTATTGTAGAGCAATTACCTTTTCGGATATTCTTGCATCAAGTGTAGCCCTGTTCGTGTACATAAAAATACTTATATATGCTACTACTTTGTGAGGATGAACCTTGTAATAGTTCAAATGTATTTGAATTCAGCAACAAAGTTTAATTAGCGCATTATATTTCACCGCGATTTGCTTGCGCCGGCGTCCATTACGTTTGACCGCCTAATTGTTATGTTGCCATACGTCTTATGAGGCAATAAGCAGCTAAGAAATAATTCAAGGCGAATTGACTGCATTTTTTAATCTTTTACATAATACCTTAGCGATATAATATTTCAACTTAAAATATGAAACTGACATTCTAAAGTTAAGGTCACTGTGAAATGAAACGTAATCTCTCTAGTTATACTTTGAGATTTAGATCAGAGACTGTTTTCGAATTGGTGTTATTTATTTTAAATTTGAAATCAATTCTATTTTTTTTAATTGTGATCTATTTTTTAGGTTAAAAATGAATAAATTTATATATTTTTTATTTCAAATAGATAATATTATTACTGTTCAAAAGTATTTTAATTATTACCCAATACGTGTTATATACTTACCCATTAGATTATTGATTTGTTATGTGTTTGCCTTAGATGCGACGCGTAGCCGAGTTCAAGCGCGACAACGCATCTCTATTGGACGGTCTGGTGCCTGAACATGAAAAGGAATCCTTCCTCGAACACAAAGTTGTCAACGTTATGAAAGGCAGAGATCACAAAGGAAGGAGAGTCCTCATTGTGAGCGTCGGAGGTAAATCTTTCAATTTTTTAAATTGATTTATAACTTTTTTGCAGTAGCAGCAGAGATGGCGCACGACTTGTTTATCCCGTCACTTGTTATCATAATTGTAAAAAGCCGCCCTCAAAAGTTCGTGGAATTACAATTATTTGCAAAGTTTTATTGAAATCGGTTACACGAAAGCGCGCGAAACCGGATTCATCGCCTAGTTTGCCACCCTTGGAGGTGCAATATTTTCTTCAAATTTAAATAAGACCAATACTGAGGTACCCTCTTTAAAACAAAAGCAGAATCATCAAAGTCGGTTCACAAACGCTTCCTACTTTTTTGAAGTCGGTAAAAAAATCCTTGTGAAAGAGTGTTGAGTGTCCTTGTGTTCATCCAGGTTAGTACTACACCATTCCCAATTCCGCCCCCAAACAGTAATGTGAGCATAGCTGCGTGTATTGAAGGGTAAGGGGACACATCGTCGCCAACATCGTTGATGTAATTCGAATAATATTAAAGGAGTGTGAAAAATGTGCATAAATATTATAGTAGTATACAAAATTTTTAAAGCTCTATTAGAGAATTGGTGCCCTATTTATGGATAACAAATAATTTTATCTTGGTTATATAATTTTTATAGATAATTTTTATCCATCCACGTTTTATGTTGATTTGAATAACAACCAAAAGTAAAAATCGCCAATATTCGACTTGGGATGTGTAGTGACATGGATTTTACAACTTATGATATCAGCGAAGAGTAGCAGAAACGTGTTCCGCAGTATTCCGCATTAATAATTTTTGTAATATTGTGTAACTTTCAAAGTTCAATACCATCAATGCATATTATTGCAAGTTAGGACGATTTGACATTATATTGAAATTTCAATCAATGTGCTGCCATCTCGTGGTTAATCACTGAACGACGACGAATTTGAGTTATTAATTTTGTTCTCCAAAAAAGAAGGGACCACATTGCAGTGCTATAAGCTTTACTTTCATTTCTTGTAACAAAAAAATATTTCGATAAACAGAAAATTGAAAATTTATTAAAATAAGACTTTCCGATGATACGAAATACCACCACGGGTAATATTTTTGGTGCGGCTATCATTTTTGCCCTCCAAAACAGCACAATAAGGCATTTTTCTAGGATTTTAGAGAATTTGCACGAAAGAATGACACAACCGTACCATACAAAGCGAAAATGGCGGACTGAGTTCACGTAGGTGTTTCGAGACCTATAGTTGGCAAGCGTCAGACGCTAAGTAACCACTTCTACTGTATTTATTGTACTGTAGATTCTACGAACATATATGTATATAATATTTAATTTTGTTTCATATGAGTCATATTATTTTTATGACTTTCGTATGATAAAAGCATTAAATGTGGCTTATATTACCAATGGTGCGAATTTTGATCATCATTTTATATTTATAATATGATTACGCTTTCAAATGAGTTTGAATATATTTTTTTTTAATGACTAATTATGACTAATTAAAACTACTCTGTTTTAAAGATGTTGAATTTATCAAATGTGACCTTTATATGACAGTAAAAATTAATAACTTTATGTTACTATATTAATCTTATTAAAATCTTCTTATATTATAAGGATATATGAGCAATTACGTTGCACAACGTGTACAAGGGCAAATTCGAACAAGAGAATTGCAACTTGACCGACACTTGCTCCCAATGTTCCTACATACTACTTAGGTTTAATGAACTTCTATATGATATGAATAAATGTTTAATAATTTCTTTAATCTTTAACATTGAAACTATGAAAACCCGTATTTTAGGAGACATCACTCTTGAAGTGATTAAATGTAAATCATGGTCAAGTTAATAAGTCTGCTTTATTGCATTTGTAGCCCGTAGGATATGGACACGGAAGAAAAAAACAATGGAATGGGCCTTAAGCCTCGATTACTCTCAGAACCATTGTCACCAAAACCGCACTAAAAACTTTTAGTAGCAGTAGAGCTCCTCGTGAAAGAGTTCACCCAGGGAACGACTGCCACCTTACTTATTTCTGCTGCCAAGTAGTAATGTCAGCATTACTAATTTTTTTTACTAAAAAAAGCAGTAATGTAAACATAGTTGATATGGAACGTGTGGTTTGAACACATCAGTATGAATGTAGAAGTTACAATGATGAAAAACGAAGTTACATAAGCCACCGCAGACGTGATCGCGGACGTAGGTTGTAACGCGTTGGCTTTTACAACTACTAGATACTTACAACCAGTAAAGACGTGTATTCAATTACAATGGAATGGATTACTTGTAACAAAATAAATTGCGCCCTAAATCCACAAAAATTAAATATAAAATACCGGTGAAGAAGAAAGATTAAACAGTCCTGACTACACCTCTGACGCCAGCAGACGACTTCTCCTGACTAAATTGTACAGACAGACCGTACACTCATGTTACTGAGCATTAGAGACAAGAGTGTACGTTTAGCATATATGTATTACGTACGTTTCTTTAGTCATCTAGGGAAGATACCTATTCACTCTTGATTTTAAATATACCTTGGTTGTATCGTTCCTGGCAAAGAGTTCCTCCTTAGCCGTAAGCAAAACTCACGATTTAAACATTCACGATTTTCACACTTTACTTGATTTTAAAAATCGGGGCTCGTCGGGACGGGAATCGTCCATGATGACCCTTCGGGACCATGGGTATTGCAACCGTAGATTTCTATATCTCAGTTGCAACGTGTCCGAAACGTCGCGGTAAATAAAATATATTTCACACGCGATTAAGTCCCGATTTTTTTTAAATCAGATAATATCTATTTCAATTTTAAAGAAATAATTTATCGTTTTTTATCGGGACCGAGACTGAGATGGTAAAGTCATCAACCAGTTATGTCTAACATTAATGCAAACCACCTTATTTTTCACTATTGTTACCAAAGTTATTACTTATTTAAATACCTTATTTTTAATTTTTCTAACGAAACATTCCAATTTACATATGTTTAACAAATGATTTTATTTTAACAATATAAATTTTTATTTAATTAAATTTTATTATATATTAATAATGTTAATTCTAGACACTTTTTAGTTATAAAATAAAAGTATAATCATAGACTGTCGCATAATTGTTTCTAGTAATAGGAAATGAAACTATTTTTCCGGATTTAAATCGCATATATTTGTTTTTTAATCCGGAAGATTTTGATCCGAATTAATTGCGATTTAAATCCGGAAAAATAGTTTCATTTCCTATGTGTAACAATCGCGAAAACTTAAGAACTCGATATGTTTCTAGTAATTCTATTTTTCGTGTCAACCCAAAAGTTCACATTAACGGAGGTTACGAGCCGTACGAATTTAGCCCGCGATATGTAAATTGTTGCACTGAATGTTATTGTTACGAACGAGTGTTTTATGTTTAAGACAATTGAGAACATTGTCTATTAAGAAATTAAGTTTATAACACTTATTAAGTATAATATTTAATGTTTCTATGGCATGTTGTTAAACGATTACCAAGCCATTTATCTACATGCTGGGTAGATAATGTAGGCAATAAATAACGTAAAATTGTATTTGACTTGGAAGCATGCTTCACGTTATTTGATAGATAAATATACAAAATATACTGAAATGAGTGAAAAACCTAGACTTAAATATTGTTTGTGACTTTTTTGAAAAACAAAATATAGTAAAAACTGTAAACATTTACAGATTCTAAGAATCATTAATAGTAGTTTAATAAGTACTAATATTTGTAGGTGAGAGGTAAAGAACCTTACGTGCAAAATAGTAATTTTACCTACAGAGCGTTCTAAAGAGAAATAAGTTTTAATTAGGCATTTCAATCTTAAGGTCAAACAAAAAATAAACGACGATAGGACTTAACATATTTTACCATTGCGTGATTTTTAGCATTCTAAATTCTAAAGTTCAAGGTGCGTGGACGTCCACAACAATTGCAGTACCACTGAAAGCCTAAATCGCATAGATCTGATGGACACCGCACCTGTGGCCGTCACCCTGACACTTAAAGTTGACAAGTATCACGTGCCTGTAATTTCACCAGCACCTTTACCCTTTAAAGGCCTAACGCCGTAATGCTTACATTAGGTACTGCTTGGCAGTTGAAATAGGTACGATGGCAGTACATGGACGAAGTCTTTTATAAGGGGTTCTACTGCTGCTAATTTTTGTGTTGCAACATTTAGTTGTGCAACGAAAAGTCTCTGGAAAATAGGGAGAATGCTGTACTTGCACACCTTCCTGGAAAATAGGAAGGGTGCTGTACGTGCATATCCATTTGGAAAATGAGGAGGGATCTGTACGCACACCCGGAATCGCTCACCTAAGCACTGACTAGCTATTGAGCACCGGATGAAGTCCGTGACAACGGTCTGTGACAACCCTATCCACGGGTTGCTTTGGGGTCAGGACTATATAAGTCAGGACGTTATAAGGTCCCTGTGCGGGCTTACTTGCACAGGTTATAGTGGCCTTCCAGTATAATCAAGAGGTTGAATCAAAACTTAAGTAGAAAGATATGGGCCTGCTGCTAATTCTTATACACACACAATACAACTTCCATACAACCTGTTTTTTACAAAACAAAATGATGAATTATAAATATAATATTTCCTTATAATGCGTTAATAAAAACCAGTTTCTATCATTTCCAGTACCATAAATTTTGTTTGTCTGTTTACAGGGACCTGGGACCCGAAGAAAGTGACTGCGGACTCCCTCTTCCGCCTTTTCTACCTTATTCACGTGGCTGCCATGCTAGAGCCAGAGTCGCAGGTGCGCGGCACTGTCGTCCTCATGGACTTCCACAACATGGGATGGGCACAAGTCAGTATATTCTACAGTTAAACACATATAAATAAACAAATCCAAACAATTTTCGCTCTATGATTGTTACCAGAGTAATTATAAGGGTGTGACGATATTGACGTCATTAATCGTCATTCCACCTTTATGATCAGCTACAAATTTTGAATCGTTCTCGAATTCCTTTCCCTTCACCATTCTTACGTTATTCTATTGTTATAGCCTTTTCTTTTCTGTATTTTCATTTGCTAACGCTAGGCTACAAGAGGCACTACGCAGAACCTTGATAATATTTGCTATGTTAAATGGTTTGGAATCTCTTTTCATTAGAGAGTTTCTGCGTTTTACTAGAGCTAAATTAGTACATTCAATCACTTTATCTGATATATATAAATAATTTTAACGGTTACAAATTCAAGGTAGCAAATTGCTAGGTAGTAATCTCTTGCAGGTTGAAGTAGATCATACCAAGAATGATGATGATTCTTGAGTTTATTTTTTTTTACCTAACGTTCCTTTTTTTGTCTAAGTTTTCACCACGTTTCCAGGTTCATAATCATCGGGTGCGTTATCGGTAAAATATACTTTTATTCGTAAATAAATATAAGTTTGTTGTTAATTCAAGCCAAAACATCTCCATACCTCCAATGAAAACTACGTCAACTTCATTTTTTGGACATTTTCTATTATTTTTGTAAACTGCCACATTTATTTACTAATATTATGTTCCCGGAATTTTGTGAAAAAAGCAACAAAAAAAAAATTCAAAAAAAGCAATAAACTAATTAGAAACAAAATAAAAACAGAACAGGTCCAAAAATTCAGTTGGCGTAGTGATCATTGAAGGTATCTTGTGGATTACCAGCTCTATAACCGTAATCCCACTTAAATTAGCACACGATTATAATTAGTCCCAGTTACCACGAGGTTAATGCACGTATTATATATATAAAATTAGTCATAATTTTGACACAAGATAACACCCAAAGATATGACTCAAAAAATAATTCAATCCCCAATAACTTAGGGCATGCATAATTTACTTCTTGCAAACTAATATCGCAGATTATAAGGATTTGACTACGCGTTATTTCTCTTTAGATAAAAGATTTTATTATATCGAATAGGATGTAGATTAAGTTCACTAATCTGATATTAAATTCTGTGACGAAATTTAATGTCGTTACAATCAGTATGCACGATAAGCGAAAACATATTGGCGAAAAATATTGCGCATTTCGTAGATCATAGCGAGCTCTTTCCGTAAATTGTGTTGTTATACTTTATTGACCTCTACGACAATTGTTATAGAGTTCATTGCTGCTTGCGCAGGTGGCGCGTTGGCACGTTGACTGTCGATTATTTGCATCGAGAAAGCAACACCGGCTAGGCAGTGACCTAGTCGGAATATGAAATAGTATTATTTTATATTCGAGGTTTTTGTCCTCTGTTTATACGCAGTGGTTTATTTTTTTAAATATGCTGATGTTATTGCATAAAAAGTTTTGGACTGGTATCTAAAATTTAATATATGAAACAATACATGTAACGTTTAGTCTTCCTTGTGTTTTTCTCGCCACCAAACAGTTCTTTGCTTTGGTGTGATTCATTGTTTGTAAAACTATATATTTCATACTGTTTACTTTGAAAACGTAACTGTCGTTGCTTCTTTGTATATTATAAATAAATCTAAAATTGATAATTTTTGAATAAATAAAGAAAAGTTGCAGTGCAGATTAGTACGAAACTTGTAGGTAGGCAAAATATTGTACTTTTAATATTGTAGATGCATTACACGTGGTTGTAATTTGGTCATGAGCAATCAGCAATTCGACTCGTATCACTTTCACTATGCGTGCGCACCGAATTGTTCAGCGCATTGACACTCCAAGTGACAAATGGCCTGTCATCCAATGTCTTCACTCTACTTTGTACGACTGTCTACTTTGTTCACTATGTAATGCAATCAGTAAATAAGTTATTTATAACTTTAGATAAGTCGATTGTTGCTTGCCACGTATTTGTAAATTTTCTATTACATCATACTATATTTTTAGATTAACTTTAATAAAGTCAGAAAAGTTCAACGTTATTTGGTTAAATATGTCGTTGACGTTACAACGCCAACTAGTGTGGATGGAGGAAGCACCCACCACACTTATTAACGTAGAAGTGACTTGAGCCTTTAAGGTAACACTCCACTCCATGTAAAGAGAGCGAAAAGACGGTGCGCGTTTCGCTCGGACACACAACTCCTTTTTTGTTCTTATTACCTACAAGAACACGTGTCGATCTACAAAAAATACTATATCGATCGTCTGCTTCTTACACATTTACTCGATTTTGTATGATCACGTTTTTTTTATGATACCAAGTGCCGGGACGAACAATTTATGGCCCTGGTAGTAAGCGACCAGTTCACAATAACTTAAAATCACAAAGAGCCGAGGGGCTTTGCCACAACACCTGTTACCCTGAAACATAAGTTGACAAGTCCCATGTGCTTGTAATTTCACCAGTACCCTTACCTTTCAAAACCGAAACGCAGTAATTCGCCTACATTACTGCTTGGGGGCAGAAATAGGTAAAGTGGCAGTACTTTCCTGGACCAACTGTTTCAAGGAGCTCTATTGCTACTAAAATACGATATCGATCGTCTGTTTCTTACACGTTTACTCGATTTTATGTGATCAATGTTGTTCGGCAAAAAAACGATGTGTCTGTTGCTTGCAAATTTACTCGTTTTGTTTGATCATACGCAGTAGAGCTCCTTGTGGAAGAGTTCATTCAGGGTAGTGCTGCCACCTTACCTGTTTCTGCCGCCAAGCAGTAATGTCAGCATTACTGTGTACCGGTTTTGAAGAGTAAGGGTGCTGGTAAAATTACAGGCACATGAGACGTGTCAACTTATGTCTCAGGGTGACGGGCGCAATGGTAGTGCCCCTCAGATCTTTGCATTTCAAAGCTCTGAGTGGCACTGTAACTGTTAAGGTCAGGCTTACCATCAGGCGCACGATTTGTTCGTCCCGTCACTTGATGTTATAAAAAAAAATACGCGTCGATCGAGCACATCTGTAGGAACCTTTAGTGCGATTCCGTGTCAATATGTCTGGTGAAGACTGGCGACTGTAGGCGGAAGTTTCGTATTCTAACAGTCCAATACTCGGTCACTTTCGTTGCTCTGCTGTTAATGGGATATTAACAAGTGAGCTATAATTATTAATCACGTGTGTTTTGTACGAAATGACAACAATAATACAACTATCATGATATTGTTTTCTTACACAGTCAATGTTTTGCGAATTCACATCCCAGTACTCGGCTTGCACGTTCCAAAATAAATACTATTGTGCCTTTGAAAATATTTTCATTATGAGTATCACGTAGGTTGAAAACTTTAACTTACTGAATCATCCGGAATCTACTTATACGTAATGTATTTGGACAAAGTGTTTGTTTAGGTATAGTCACACAACCAGCAGAGATGTTTAACACCAACAGATTAAGTAAAATAACAAAGAATGTCCTTTTAACCCCTTCTATGTTGACTTCAACAAGTTACGAAATCTTTTTTTAAGTAATTAGTAGGTATATAGTAATACCTACTGTGAACAGGATCTTCGATAACGGAGCATTTGTAATTAGCATTATCGCCGCTAGATATTGTTACTAAGTCTGTTGGCTTTGTAATTATTAAATTAGTACTCCTTTAACAATCTTTAATATTTTTTTGACAAGAGTGGCATTAGTTTATTATTGTCATAAATATTTTCAAACGTATTTATTTTGAATTTATAGTGGTTTATATCGTAGATAAGATTCCTAAGTCGATATTTGTAAATTGTCCGATCACTTAGTCTTGTTTTGTATGAGGAGAAAATAAAACAGTCGGAAATGGTGTTTAACGGAAATTGTTCAATTTTATGAGTACTCTCCTAAAATTTTGAATGAACTTTCTTTCGTCTTTTGACACTGTATATTTACAAGAATTTTTGGTAAATACATATCGCACCTTTCGTGTAATAAGGTCACATTTTCAAAATAACAAATTTTCAGGAGAGTCTTAAAGATTCTACGAACGAAATTAGTCGATAGCTTTTTTATGCTTAATAAGAGTTATAAAATTTCACATTACATATTTTTGTTTCAAGTAGTTAGTATTATTTTTATGACTTTTATGTGATAAAAGCACTTTGAGAGGTATGAAAAGTATTTTCGGGCGTAGCAGAATATCAGTATGTTGCTCTAATTGAGCAGCAATTACGCTGATCTACGGCCATTTTATCACCACAGCGCACGCATGCAATGCGTCAAGTACCTTTTATTGTAACGCTTTCCATATGCTTGTGTTTTTCCTTTTCTTATTTTATTTAATATTTAATATATTTTTTTAATTTTTCCTTGTGTTATAAGCAAAAATATAAATGTATAATATAAGATTTTATTTGTGCAGTGTTATTTATTTGGTACTATTGTTTTTTCTATTTTTTTTTATATATGATTCCCACATGTGTATTTTGTGACAAATACACTATTTATCTATCTAAGTATAATAAAAAAAAAACGATTTTCAGAAAAAGAATAATCTAAAAATATGTCTTGTGTGATATATCGATCATATACTTGATTTCTACAGTATTTAGCGTTTATTTACATACATACTGATGTACCTACTGTTTATGCCTTTTTTCTAGTTGGCCGATACCACAGGTTTTTATTTACTACTGGCTCACTACAGTAATTACGATAGTACATACAATAATTTATATACAGTCTTATTTAATCGACAACTAATCATGAGTGAACTCAATTTGCAAATGCAACGTGAAAATAGAAAAATAAAAATTAAAAAAACATAATAAGAAATCTAAAAAATTCTACTAAGTAATTGTAGTATGAGGAATTCCTGAGGATGTTCATCATTTGCTCATGAAGTGTGTTCGGACGGAACCTATCAGGGTGCGGTTATTTGCACAGGTTGTTTTTGGTGCATTTGATGTATTTGACGTTGGGTGGTTTCA